TTTTAAATTTACTAAATCTTCTGTAAGTTATATTTAAAAAAAATGTTGTTGGCACTTTCTTCAGCCAAATCACATAAATAATAAATAAATACGTCTAAGCATTCACCCCAGCACTGCAACCAGCCGCGCTAATCCACGATTAAGCCACCCCATTATCGCCAGCCACAAAGCGGAACGAACGCCATAAAATATGCAACATAAAACAACAGCCTGCATAGCCATGCAACCATTAGACTGAAGAGCTCCAGAAAAAAACGCACTCTAACACCACTCTCCCACTCACTATCCTCAAGCGTTTTTCAAAGCGAAACTTCACTACTTTCCAACCATTGCTGTGTGTGTGTGTGTGTGTATGTGGTAAAGAGCGCACCGGCTCGGGACGAGCAAATAAAACTCGGCTGGTTGACTGACTGACGTTGAATACCTGACGACTGTCGGCACAACAAAAACAACACGAAGCATATGTTTTACAACACACCACTAAAAATGTACAGTAAATACACGAACACACACACACACATATACATATATATATAGATGTGTGAGCAAAAGCCAGTCGCAGGCCTACAATGAACCGAAAGTGTGCCAACAACCTCCATGGCCGTTGCCATCGTGACTCGCTGCCGCCACCGCTGGCGCTAACGGTAAATGGCAAAATGCTGTTTGTTGTTTTTGTTGCTGTAGCGTTGCAAATTTGCCCCTCAACTTCGCCCAACCAGTGATGCGCAAAATAATCGTCAGTTCATGAACCTCAAGAGCATTTAGGCCGCCCAGCAGCATTCTAACGGTACATACATGCAACTGCCGTTGGTGTGGCCAGATCTCTCATGACTGCTTGAATGATTGGTCACTTAAGGCGCTGACTGGCTGGCTTAACTACAGCGCAGTTGGACTAATGCCTTACGCGCTGTAAGCAGCTGTCACTTGCTATCAGGCTTCAGTTCTTTTCCAATTTGAGCCGCGCTTTACCAATTCATACAGCCTTGCCACATATTTTTATTTTTCTAAATTTTTCCTAAATTCTCTTGGACTATAAGCTTCTATATATAGTTGTTCACATATCTATTCTAACTAAGTTTTGTGCCGCTGTTTGACTTCGTGTTCTCCATCAGCCCAAGCATTGCTTTGGTGCATTCTCAAAGCGCTCGCTGATTTTTTCGTCATGTTACTGCTTTATTTTTTGCTTTCGCAAACATTTTTCCTTTAACATGCCTTCCACTTTATGTCGTCCTTGCCATCTCACTCGAATCTGTGGAGCCGTTCAGTTTTGCGGCGCATTTGTGCAACGTCACGTCTGCGTTTACGTGGTGGGAGATGCTTGGTCGGCCGCAGTGTGCTCAGGCGGTGTTTTGACTGCATTTTCTCTGCTTCTACTTGCTTTTAACTTAGCACTAGCTTATTCATGGCGCTTCCCTTCGCGTCCAATCATCCCCCTTGACAATGTCCTTTCACAACAACTTTTCTTTTTAATACCGTTTCTTCGCCCTTTTTATGCTTTTTCTGCTGTTCTCTATTGTTTTTTTTTTTCTAGTCTCATTTTCCTCTTTATTTACACACCATTATTTGCTTTTCTTTCTTTAAAGTATTTTTTTCCAGCAGCTCCACAAAGTCAAAAAGGACTTGCTATACTAACTTCATGTATATTTGTGCGCTGTGCGATCGTTAGCAATGCTCAGGGACTTTTCTGTGGCTTTGCTTCATGAGACGGTGACTGCAGCTGGGAAATACTGACAGCTAAATTGTTATGGAGTGAGAGGAGACTGCAGCACGGCGGAGTTTGAAAAAATATGTAGACTTGGTGGAAGCGTCAACACAATGGGCTTATGTGGTTGCAAAGTGCAAAGCGAATATTTGATTTTTCCAAGAAGAATATGTCGATCCAACAGGGGGACCAAAGATTGTTGAAAGCAAGTGAGGAAAATTCCAGTAAAACCATAACTAAACTGCTTTTCAAAGATATGATAGTGCTAAGAGAAATATATGAGACTTTGACGGTTCTCTTTGAAATCTTCTATACAGTCAGTGGGAGGCTTGGATGTATTACGAATGTCGTAATTTTTTCATCTCATAAACTTCGTAGCAAATCGAAACTTCACTAGTAATCAGCGTTTTATTCTTATTTAGATTAACCTTATTTTGCGAAGTCCTCGCAGACTGAGAAATGAGAGTCGATTTCAAATAATAAACCTATCGTTATCATCTGCTATAGGTTTAATTCCAAATGAGACGAGCAGAAGAGGAACACCTAAAACAGTGGAAGGTGCAAAAAATGAAGATGGCGGTGAGAAAACAAAAAACGGCAGCATGGACGTTAAGAACGGAACGGCACAGCTATAAGAACTCTTCAACGTCATCACCGCAGAAGCTGGGCTCATTGCAGAAAATGAGTAAAGGCGAGGACATCTAACCAGCCACATCACGACCCCCCGGGTAGAGGAAGCACATTAAAAAGCCAAAGAAAAAAAAAAAAAAAGAAACAAATAATAGGCCCAAACGGCGAGGCCATGTTCATAAAGCCAGCAGAACCGTAGCTAGGTAAACCATAAAGGTGTAGAGGTTAAGTTCAAAGAGATCCGCAAAACAAGAGCCGGGGCCTTACTTACTAGAGCTAGAGAAAGTACAGTCTACAAAAGCCAGCTTCTACGAGGCTCTCAAGACCACTCTTAAAGAATCTGCAACTGTCGCCGACCTTAAACCAAAGGCTACTATAGAGATTAGAGAAACTTAGCGATAAACATAACATCACCTAACACAAGAGAGCAGAGGTAAGAACTCTCCTAAACTCATATGTCCCACTCTCCCAAACTTCTATCATATTGTTCAGCATTGAGTGCTACACCCGAAAGTATTATCCTAAGTCACGTATCCCAAAAAAATCGAATAGCCTCATAGCCCATATTAATTTCAGGTCTTCTAAAAGTGAACCCTTTCATACCATAAATTTCTGTCTCATTGAAATATCGTAAATTTGTCTCGAAGACTTAAGCAAAGTACCACGATGGTATCGGTATAGTTGAAAGAGAAATTTTGGAGAAAGTTTCAAGTCATATAAGATAGAATGAGAGAAAGATATTTCAAGCTTTCTTCAGCCCACAGCTTCTGGCATTCAATAATGAGCTTTGAAATAAATTAAATTTTTAGGTATTTCAAGTATGCAGAGAATAAACTTTAAGGCATGAACTCGAATATTTTTTAATTCACTCAGACATGGATGCAACTTGCACCACAGTAGCCACCAGCGTCACAACTCGAGTGCAGTCACAGAATCTCTACCACAAAGCGAGTATATTCAAAAGTATATGTGTACATACATATTATAAAGACCCCCCAGAGTTGCAGCATAGCGTGCGCATAAGTCAAAATAGAACTTTAATGGTGTATATGAATGTATGGTATGTATGTAGTGCCATGTGTTTATAGCGTTGCTGCCACGGCTTGCAAAAAAATTAACCTACTTTCCGAAAGCAGACATGTTCTCTGCGATTTTTTTTTTTGCAACTATGAAAGTTTATATGTAATTTTTTCGCATAATTGCTTACGCCATATTCTGTACCAATACATATAAGGAACATTGATAAGGAGATATAAACATAAAAGCTTACATGTAAAGAAACATACAGACAAACATTTGTATTATACGACATCATATGCACGGTTAGCGCAGAAAAAGCAAATAAAATGTAAATATACACAAATACATACACACATATTTACACTCAATGGAAAGCAAAACGGAAAAAAATCAAAAATGTTGCCTATCTCCAGGAGCTGAAGCGACGTATTGGCTATTTGAAAGCTGGTGTTGTTGTTGTTATACATGTTTTTGTTCTTTTAAAAATGTATCGAAAAACTGTTGTTTGTTATTGTTTAATAATAATAGCGCCATTCTGTATTTTTTAAATTTTTTATTTCTTTTAACATTATATAAATACATTTCTATGCTACCTTCACGTCCGCATGCTCGACTCACTGTTAGCAACAGACGCAATCAAAATAAATGGCACAATGTCCTCTAGACTATTGACATGAACATGCCGCTGACAGGCGCATAGACAGAGATAGCATGAATGCCGCCTATGGGATTCGCTTGCGTGTCAGCTGGGTGGTGGCAAAGCAAGGTGAGACAGAGACTGTGGTTGGAAACGATGTGGAGTAGAGGAGAAAACAGTGGCTCGACTATGAAATATAAACAAAGTTTAATTTAAAAATATGTCTATCACTTAATTTGTTTAAGTATTACAGTCAAAATGTATGCCGCTAAGTGATTAAAAAACATAGATGTCTTCATTTTCATAGAGAGAGTTAGAGAGATTACAAAAGAAGGGAAAGCTTTAATTTGTCCATAAGACCTCAAGACAATAAAAAAGTATTTTGTATGATTTCATTTCCACCACTCCTTGGGGAGTTTTTATACGCTGGGTATTAGTGAGTTCAAAATTAAGCAGATAAAGGGCTACACGAGAGTTTCTGTGCTCTGCAAGATCTTTAGATAGGGAAATAAAAGTGGAAGTGCTATAATACAGAAAGAAAATAGAAACACTTGCCAAAAATATTACTTACTATCTAGTATTTTTGTCAATTTTTACCCTAAAAGTATTCTTCTAATAAAAATTCTTTAGTTTTAAGCCTAAATGTATACTTATAAAAAAAATTAGACCCCAAAGGTATGCTTTTAAAGTAACAAAAAGTCAACCGGCGAATATTCTTAACAATTCGTGAGAAGCATTAACAATCTAAACGTTAGTAACACGTTAGTAGTGACTAGTAACCGGTAGTAGTAACGTTAGCTATACAACGAGTGCACTAGAAATATTATTTTGACATTACCTATGGACTACTACAGAACACTAAAACTGCAAATGACTAAAAAAAATATAAATATATTTCTATCAACTTAGATTGGCACCATAGAAGAACTTATAAATCATCTACTAGGTAATTTCTGAAAAACTAAGAGAAATGCTCAAAAGTACAAGTTGTAGAGTTCACGAACTCATTAAGAAGTCTTACTATGGTGTCACTTTGAAATCGCTTATGCAGTGAGTTCAGCTGAGAGAAATAAAATAACTTACTGGCTTAAAGCTTTCAAATATATCAATAGTTTTGTCAAACGAAATCAATCTAAAAAGTAGGATAAAACCTGGTGCGCGTAAAGCTTTCAAATATATTAAAATTTCTTTCATTAAAAAAAAATTTCTTACTAATTTCTAAAGTAAAAAACTATCCAAAAGAGAAATTAATACGTTGAAAAACTATTTTAGCAGACATTTTAAAAGTGGATCTGAAGAGCTTAAATTCAACAATGGGAAGCCGTTAGCAGGTTTTGAAGCTTAATGCTCCCGCGCATCGAAATCTAAATCGAGCTGAAGATAGCTAAACGAAATCAAGGCAAATACTTGTGCAATAGAGGGGACCCCCCTCAGTTACTTAACGGCTTTTGGCGCTTTTCGTAAAGCTCATTAGATTTCAATTATTATTCATCATTATCATTTAAATTATTACTTATAATATGAAATTCACTTGAGTACTACTCACACCATCACCTTGAATACAGTTGAACATGAGACCAATTAGTTATAGTTCTTCAAAGGCTTAACAGCGATAAAATGCCCACATTGCATACTTTCAGGTGCGCAAAAGTTCATGTGCGCCATAAAGCTCAGCTCGAAGCGCATACAAACTGTTACTTCTCTCCGCACACACACTATCAGCTTAGTGAACGCTTTCATTATTCATAATTTTTACACAGTCGAGTAGCGCTGAAGGATAATGACTTTAAGTGGGTTAACAAGCGGCGCGGAAGTGAATGAAGTTGATGTTGAGTGCACTCACGTACCCGTATCACTCTGTGTATGTGTGTGTGTGTGTAATGAATAATTGCATACAAATTGCAAAAATGCAGAGAATAAATGGCTTGAAATTCGAGTTAAAAATAGCATGAAAAGTATAGCAAATTAAATCGCGGCCGATGGAGGCAAGTCATGGAGGCAGCGGACAGTGGGGGAAAAGCCACGCAGGCGACCAAAGCCGAAGGTTGTCACAAGGCGTACACTGACCGCTGAACCTTGCCGCAATATGTTGGTGTAAAACGTTAAGTGATGAAAGAGTATAAAAACGACAACAACACTTTAAGCTGCAAAGAAAACAAGCGAATTGAGGTTAAGAAGAACTTATTTATTGATGCGCTCAACAAACGAAAGGCGGAGTGTATTTGGCGCGAAATTTGTGGTGAAAACATTTTGAAAGCGTGGCAAAATGCAGTGTGTAAGAGCGAAGCAGAAAGTGCAATAAGGAGTTCAAGTGCTTAAAATGGTTGTAAAATAAGTTGGAGAAGTTAAGTTGCTTGCATGTTGAGCGCCCAAAAGGCGGCTATGAAAAGTGTAGCGCCAAATTATAGGCAACAAAATTTGAAAGCGCATAATTTTTAAATTATAACTATTTTTATTATTTAAAAAACTGAAATTTTCTCTATATATTTTTATAGAGTTGCCATATAGAGCAAAATATGTTTTTGAAGCGAGAGTAAAGCGTGGAGTTGTAGGCACTAACAAATTTAGAAAACAAGTCGATTTCAAATAAAATATTTGTTAATATTTAAAACAATTTAAGATGTGTATAAGAGACAGGCCATATAGAGCAAAATATGTTTTTGAAGCGAGAGTAAAGCGTGGAGTTGTAGGCACTAACAAATTTAGAAAACAAGTCGATTTCAAATAAAATATTTGTTAATATTTAAAACAATTTAAATTTTAATTGTAAAATTGTAAAAAAAATATTTATAAAATATGTACAAAAAAAAATATATACATACATATGTATATAGTATTTAAGCAAAAATATAGACGCAAACAAAAATTAAAATTTTCTTAGAATTTTTTTTAAAGTTACCACATATTTAAATTAATAAAATAAAAAATTTTTTTTTTTGATTGATCATTATAAACACAAATGTAGAAAACGCGTCGATTCCAAATAAGATATTTTTTAATATTTAAAAAATTTTAAGTTTCTACAAATATTTCAATACAGATGCCAGTAGCAACAAAATATTTAAAAAAAAAGTATTATAAGAAATATATACACACATATATGGTATTTAAGCAAAAATACAGACGCGACCAAAAATTACAATTTTCTTAGAAATTTTTTGAAAGTTGCCACATATTTAAATTTAAAATAAAATATTTTTTTAGCTAAATAAAAGTTATGCATAAATATACATTTTTTTAACTGCAATAAATACGCAAACATAAATTTTGTTTAAATTAAGGATGCCACCTATTAAAACAACGGTTAAAAATACAAGTACTATATTTAATATGTTGCAGAGACAATTTAGTATATTATAACTTATTAAGTTGGCATCAAAAAAAATGTGCGCTAGAGTTGCCACTTATTTAAATTAATAAAAAAGAGAAAATATTGCAATTTAAAAAAATGAACGTATTATAAATTTTGTTTTAAGTACCGGCATCGCAAATTATATTAACTTGAAAATTAATAGAAAAAATAAAAAAAATTATTTTAAATGAGTTGCCAACTATTTTAAAATATAAAACATACCAGCCCTTTGATCTTATGAAAATTGAGTTGAGAAGAATTCTGATATAAATGCATGCTCATATGACCATTATATGTAAGTAAGATTTTGCCATTTTTTTTTAATATTTCTATAGTTAGGGTTGCCATATAATCAACAAATTAAAAGTGTTTCCATAAATGTTTTATGTTTTCGAAGTTTCGAAGGCATGTGAGTAGAAAGATTGTTTGCCAATATGTACAAGGAATATTCTTGTTTAGGGTTGCCATATCACAAAAAAATTAAAAACATGAATTTAATATTTTATGAGTTTACAATAATGTTTTGTAAAGACGCGGAATAAATTGGATATAAGCACCCAAATACTAAAATGTTGAATAGTGTTGCTACTGTACCAGCATAAATATATATTTATGTATTTGATAGATTATAAAAATGTGTTATAAGGCATACATACATGTGTATTTAAGTATAAGTGTATAATACAAATTGGAAAAAAATATTAGGGTTGCCGCCTAATTCAAAAAATATAACGTTATTTTTGTTAGAAAATTTTCAAAGTAAAAAGTAAAGTTTAATATATACATAAATAATTATAATTTTTCATTCTAAATTTTTTCATTTAGAAGATAATATAACTTCATATATACTAGAGCTTCTATAAAAGTTCAGATCATTTCATTGCTTCATTCCCAAACCGCATTGAAAGCGCATATACTCCAGCTATGTACATTTCTCCTTTACCTAGTTGCCGTACAACAACCTTTTCGCCTTCATTTGTATGACACAGTACGTTGTATGTATGTAGGTATATGCCATTGTGGCATGCAACAACTTTCGCATGCGAATTTATGCGCGAAAACGCTGCGGAATCGAACATTGGTTCGCATGTACGGTTGTATGTATGTATAAATGCAAATATTGCAAAAAAGCAATAGAAAATTGTTTCTGGAATGCGTGCGCGTGTGTTTGTGTATTTGTTGTGCAACTTAATGTCACAGGCGCGCAGCTGAGCTCAGGTTGTCGATGCAACCAACTCACGCAACTCGGTGCATACTCAATACCTCGTGTTGTATTGTATATGAAATATAAAAACAAGTGAAAAAACCACATGACAAGCGGAAGTTGCGCGAGGTTGCGGTTATTGTGCTCCTTTTCAAGGAGCAACTTCACGTGCGTTCACAAACGTTGCATATAGCAGTTGAGCGGCAGATACAGGCATCGGGAAAAATTTTATATATGTATGTATAAACAAAACGGAGGCGGGAGGAGACACCAGTAACAGCATTGAAGTCACAGTTCTAAATAAAACTAGCTTACCGCACCTTTTAGGCATAGAGTTTATCAGATCGCGGGTTCTACACTGAATACCTGAGCCAAGCTTGTTTGGATGTCATTCAAAGACACTGATTCATTTATACAGGGAACCTGCGTCCTTTCAACTCTTTTTATCTAGTTTACAGACAACCACTAGTCTAACCACACATCATCACATTTGTCCTGATATCGTTTTATTTTCACTCGTCATATTCTCGCAAATTACTCTCAACGCATTTTATCATGTCATATTGTCTATAACGATATCTTTTCCTCCCTTTTGTCTCATCTTATCATTTCTAGTTTGACTGCCTCTTAACATCTTTTCACCTCTCCGAGCTCAGTAAAATTCTTAAAATTAAAGATTATTTAAAAAAACAATGATTTCTTGATTTTGAAAATTTTTCAAAATTGTTTTTCAATAAAAATTTTCAAAAACAAATTTAAAAAAACTCATAAAATGAAAAATTATATTCATAAAAATTTAAAATTAATAATTACAAATAAAATTGCCAAAAAAATGTTATTATGTTTACTGAAAATTGAACAAAAACAAAAAATCCAAAATTAAAAAAATTTCGAATGGAAATTGAAAAATATTTTTAGAAAATTGTTCTACTTTTATAAATATTCGAAAAAGTTTTAAAAAATTCTTAAAATTAAAAATTATTTTTTCAACGAAAAAAATTATCAAAAGTTTTTCAACAAACATTTTGGAAACAAATTAAAAAAAATCCAAAAATTAAAAATTTTTCGAATTAAAATTTGAAATCATTTCAAAAAAAATTGTAGAAAACAATTTCAAAAAACGCCAAAAATTATTTCGAATTTCGAAAAGAAATTGAAAAATATTTTTAGAAAAT